CCCCTTTTTTAAAATTTTTTTTCTTTTCCTTTTTTCCTCCCACCTCTTTTTTCCCCCACCTCTTTTTCTCCCTTTTTGCTTTATTTTTCCACCCCTCATGCTGTAGAAATGCAGGGCACAAAAGAGTAATTCACACAGTTGTTTAAGAGACTTGGGCAGCAGCTCTAAGGCAGGAGGTAACACAGTAATGGAGACATTTGTGAGAGTGAGCTGGGGGTCCAAAATACATGTTCCAGGGACATTACACAGCACTCCCAACTCAGAAACTGCAAAATGAACCTACAAACAGAAGAGAATTCAGGATGCTTAGTACAGGATGTTTGGGTTTAGCTGCTAAATATTCAGGCCAATTAGTGAAGTGTAAAGCTTCAGCTGGTACAGTGTGTGCCCTTACCTGCAGCTGCAGAGTATATTTGCTTAAAAAGCCAGTTAATCCCAGGTGATAGACATAATACCTGTGACCAGTGCTCATTAGGAAATGGGACCTCAGGAGGAATTAGAGTTTGCAAGTCTATGGTAATTGGAAGGACAAGGAGCAATATATTTTATAGTTAATGGTGTATCAGAGGGACTCAATGATTGCAACTGTTACTGCACTCTACAGACTTTTGCATAAATACCCACGGTTTTAGTAATGAGGATTTCAGATTGGATTTGAGAGAGTTGTGGCAATAGACACTCCTTAAGATTTTGCATAGGAAGCATGTTCCTGTATTCATTTTGACTAGATGTCCTAGTTGCAGCTGTCTGTGCATGTTGGCTAGTTCTGTGTTACAATTCTGTTATTTAAATACATATTTGAGCACAATCATTGCTACTGAGCTCGGTGTACACTGAGGTCTCTGTTTAAACTCCTTTTGGTTTCACTAGGGTCAAGCTCTGCAGTGGTTCTCTCAACTTCATGAAGATTTTGCTGCTGGTTTCCCTGAAACAACAGATGTAGTTATGTGTGCTGTTAAGTAGTTATCTCATTAATGCATGAAAACAGAGCTTGTGTTGCTACTTCACAGAATTTTATTTCTAACAGCTTTCTATATATCACCATATGTACATTGTAGAATTTTTTGTTTTGCTCTTAGAAGAGGCCAAAACCACCTCTTTAGATATAGTTTCTTTGTGTGTTTTTTCCAGAATCAGAAATGCTTATCCTGCTTTTGATTTGAAGACAAATACTGGGAAAATCTGGAGTATCACAACAAGGTTCCCAGAGCATATCCTGGGTGGAACAAAATTCAGAATCAGCATTTGGACAGATTTTTCACCACATCCTCTACTTCTTACACAACATGGTAAGTGGTCAAGTTTATGTACAGGGGAAGCAAATCGGGCATCAAATGAAAGGAGAAATTCCAACTAGGTAGGAAGAATCAAGGAGAATAATTAGAAATTGGAAGAGTTGGCCCATGAAGTTTGTAGAGTCTCCAAGCTTGGAGATGTTTAAGGTTCTACAAGACAAAACCCTGAATAAGGTGGTCTGAATGCAGTGCTAAGCCAGCTTTTCAGGGAAGAGGTTCTAAATTATTCTCTCATTAATGACTATGAGAAGCTGCCACTGCTCCTGTGCATCCTGTGTCTGTGATTAATGGGAGAATCTTTAATTCCAGCTCTAGTAATTTTTATTTCTGCAACATACACAAAAATTAAATAAACTATTTTTCCCCCTCTCTTCCTATGTTGCTTTATTAAATCATAGTCTTTTTCTTGTCTTTTTGTTTTAATTAATAATTTATTTAGTTTTCAAGGAATTAGTTGACTGTAACAGAGTGAGTTGAATTATCCTGAATTTGTTTAGACTAGGCTAGCAGTAAGGTTGCATTAGGAGAAATACTCTTTTGTCCCATCTAACGTAAAGTACTGTTCAGTTAGGCAAGCACTTTTGGCAGAGTAAGGAAAGGAAGACAGATCTACAGAGTGGAAATGAGTGGTACTAGCAAGTTTGGAATTTTTTTTCCCCAGAGAGTGACCTGAAAAAAGTGCATGTTACAATTTTAATTCAAGATTTTTGTGCTGCTCTTTGTTTTCTGGACTGTGTAAATTCAGCCAACAAGCACTGCAGTTTAAACATCAAACCAGCTGAGTTTATTACAATGGCGAGTTCCCAAAAGACTAAATTATTTAAACTGGTAAAACCAGAAGAAAAATGTGTAATTGAAGTGTCTTTTTGAGGGGAAAAAAAAAAGCCAAAACATTTTGCAAACAAAATTAACATTTTCAGAAGGAGCTTTTGAATACATTTGTCTTTCCCTGGAGAAAACCAAACCAAAGCAAAAAAGCAAGCTATGTTTTATTTCAGCTTTATGTCATAACCCCCTCTTCTGGAGATGCCACCTGTTCTTTGAAGTTTTCCCATCCCCTTCAACAGAAGACCATATTTAACAGACCTGTTTCTAGATTATGCAGCTACTCTTTTCCATTTGTGATCAATTCTTCTAAAATGGACAGAGAGGAAGTGTATTGGCAGGTGTTGGAAAATTGCTTAAAAAACTGACGTGAAAGTGGAGAAAATTCTCAAAATTCCGAAGTGTTTCTGAAAAGCAGGTTGTACAAACTGAAATAGCACTTCCTAAATTATAGGGATTATGTATATTTTTATACTATTATGTGGCTGCTCATGTATTAAATAATATCATATTTTGCAGATATAAAATACATTAGAATATTAATTTACTTCTTTGTTATGGCTAAAAGGGTGTGCATAGCAGAAACAATACCAAGTAACATTCTGGAGCCTTTTTGTGTCATAAGTGGCTACAGAGTCAACTTTTGCATCATTGGAAAGGTACCAAAATGTTCATCAGGAAAATGAAAAAGAAATAATAATGCCATTCATCTCTTCCTTTCCTCCTGGGAATATTGTTCATCTCTTCTTCTTACCAGCTGCTCAAGAAATTGCTCATTTCCTCTAAATGGACATAGAGCCCATGTCAGGTAGAATATTTGAAGCAAAATTTAAAAAAAAGATAATAAAGTCAAGTGTGTCTTGATCTAATTCCTCTTGATGGAGCTAGTCCACAGCAGTTGTTAGGAATGACAGGAAAAAAACCCTTATTTTCTCTGCTCAAGTATGTAGCCTGCAATTCTCCAGCAAGCTACTATTAATTTTCCTTGCTATCTTTATTTACAGCTGGCTGTATCACTCGCGACTTAATTGTGGAGATCCTCCGTTGCACAAATCAATACCCAGCCCGGGAGGAGGAATGCCTTCTGAGTGTTTCTGGGTCTGATGAATTCTTGCAAAAGTAAGTACCTCATTAAGCCACGAGCCATGTAAACAGAGCCACGGGGAGAGGTAGGGTGTCAGGTTCTTCCAAACACTCCATGTGTGCAGGAATCAGAAAAACAGCAACTTCCACCAGCACTGAAGGGTGTGATCCGCAGCCTTACAAAAAGCTTGGATTGATGATTGAATACAATACACAGGTATTGAGCAGAAAAATCAGAAACTTATATTTCTACAGCTGTGAGAATATGCCTTCAGTAAGTGAGAAACTGCATTGATAAGATGGTGAGGGGTTTATAATGTAGGGGTGTGGTTGTACAGAGTAGCTAAGAATTTAGAAGTTGTAATAGAGGCATATGTGAGAGAGAAGCCATAGGACAAAAATATGCACAGTGCAGGAGAAATAAAGGTGATAGGTTAGAAAAGCAAAACAAATTCTGTGGCAACTGCCCATTGGTTTCGAAAGTTCTATATTGCCTTATAATGAAGAAACTTGTGACTAAGCTATGGCTGACTGCTAAAATCTCACAGCCTCTGAGACTCATGTTTATCTGACCAATGAATTGTTCTTAGCCTGAAAATAATCCCATCCCTTCATTTCTGGTGTCAACAATGATACCTGTTAGTTTCTGAAACTCCTGAAACATGTGGTGCATGTGTTCTGCAGAGAGCATGGTGTGCTCCAGTGCAAGGATTCAAATCCTCTTTTATGGAAGCTTTATGCAGCTTTTAATTGTTTGTTTGATTCTGTTGTCCTTCTGGTCTTTCCCATCTGTGATACAACACTGCTACTACTTCCACTATCTCATGGGGTGTTATAAGCAACTCCTCAAAGGGGGAAGTAATTAAATTGTGGTATTTTATATTATTTATTTATGCAATATCATGCAACTGCAGAGCAGGTGATTTTTCTTCATATCCAGTTGCAGTAGTAGCAAAACAAATAAAGTCAGCAGTGTGGTGCTGATGCAAGTTAAAAACACATTAAACATGCAAGTAGGTCTTTCTGAATGTAAATAGTTTACAAGTAGGGAAATAAATGTACTGATTCAGGTGATCTCTTGTGATGGTTGAAAGCAGTCCTGAACTCAGTTAGTTGTTTTTTGCCCTGTGGCAGCCTAAATTCAGGTGTCAGCCAAAGTGAGCAGGTTCTGTGTTGAAGCAGCTGAAGTGCAGGCACTTGTCAGCTGGGCTTTGTGGACACCGGCTCTCAGCAGAAGGGTTGGCAGTGTTCTGTGGTACGGGCACTGCAGGAATCACAGCTCATCTGTTAGAGGTGTAAAAATTGTTAGATAAAATACTGTATGTCTATAACTCAAAGGGAAGATTCTAGACGCAGTCATATTTACAGTAGAGTGTAAAAATTACATGAATGAGCCTGGAGTAGGTCAGTTTGATTGATGAAAGCAATGCAGTTGTGAGAGCAAGTGTCGCACTGTGGAAGTTAGCTTTGCTCTGTATCCATCTGGAGCACTTCTACCCTTACACAGGCGCACAGGCCAAATGTTCATGTGTTCATAGTGAATTACATCTGGCAACTAAAGATGCCAAATTGCCTCTACAACATTTCTAAGCCCACTCTTCCCATCTTGGTAAAGCAGGAGCTGGAAAAGCAAAGTGCTGTGTAAATCATTAGAGCACTAGAAGTACCAAGCAGAGAACTAGGTCATACATAGATCTGTTAGCTACAGAAGAAGACCAGGGTCTTATGTGGGTTTTTTGTTAACCCAAGATACTCTTCTAATTTCAAACAATTTGCTAAAAAGTGGAAATAATGAACCATTGTATTGAGGATGAGCTCAGTGCAGTATGTGTTGAAGAGTTTTGTTTTCACTGCTGGGGAGAATGCATCAATAGCAGACTTTAAATTCCTGCACTTGTAAAATCTCTTCATGTCTCATTAGCAGTGAAACCATGTCAATAATGTTCTCAGCTTTCTTACTTTGCTCCTCCACTGTCATTCACAAAGCTCTGAGCTGCACCAGAACTTCAGCAGTTTGTAATTCTGTATTGTGCTGTTAAATTCAGCTCCCTTTCTTCTGCCTCTTCAACAGAGCCCTGGATCTGAAATTTGAAACCCCAGACCCTAAGGATCCCTTGGGTAGTTTAACAGCGCCTGAGGAGCTGCCTCAGGGTGAATTTTTTTTCCTATGTGTGGGCTATCTTCAAGTGCAAATTGGTTTCATCCCATTGTTGCTAACAGAGTGATTTGATGCACTGGTGCACAGTTCTTCCCCAGGAAAATATTTGGAGTCAGTTCACGGATGAATTCCAGCAGAAGTTCCTCAAGTTCTAAGACAGCAAAGGGAATAAATACTCTGCTGCTTCTGCTGTACTGTAATCCAGAAAAGAACACCAAAAGTGAGGGGAAAAAAGGTGATTTGATGAATTGTTCTCCGAGCAGAGTGCTTTAGTGAAGCAGACAGTTTTGTCAAAAGCTTTCATTTACTGTTTCATTGGATTCTATTAATGAGCACTTCACCCCACCTCCTGCAGAAGCACCTGAAAGACTTGATCATTTTTAGAATCCATTTAGCTTTGAATGAGAGGGGGAAGAAAAACCACCTCTGTGCTAATGACCATTACACTCAGCACCAGCAGATTTCACCGTCCACCACTCCCTTCCTCCGAGAGATCCTTAGGCTCACATCCTGCCTGACTCATGAGTAGAACATCACATTTCAAATACTCAAATTTTAAAGATATCAAAAGATATCATATAGACTGCAGGCCAGTCTGTAATTAATAGATTTGGAATCTCTTTTGTTTTCTGGTCTTTTTACCATTGGAAACGTGACCTTGCTGCAACCTGCAGGTTTTCTTTTTATCCCATCAAACAAACCTAGATCCACCTTTAAATCTTGCTCTCACACCTTCTTATCTTTCCTTAGATGCAGAATGGATACCCCTAAATATGTTCTTATGATTCCTTTAAAGAAAAATATTATATAAAAGTAAATTGAATTGTGCTTAAACATTTTTTGTCAACTCCTGGGTCTTAATGACAGCAGCTAGTCAAAACCAATCCTTCTCATCTGTCACCAATGAATCAATTCTCTATTTAAAAAAAAAATGGCCACAATGTCTCAGGTTGTCCTGAAATGCCTAATAAAACAAATGAGTATCTATAAGAATGAGGATGTTTAAAAAAAAAAAATCTTTATTTTATTGATGTGTGTGCTAGCAGAAGGCTGCAGTAATGTAGATCACCAAAGGAATGTAGTTCAAAAATAATTAAAAGCTTTATTTCTAGACATCCTTTTTTTCTAAGGTGTCAGAGTATTTAAAGTTCCATCCACACCCTCACATGGTATAATTTGCACAGCTACCTTATTGCTTTGCAATTCAGCCACCACAGTGAGCAGGGGAATGAAATTGAAAAATCTAAATTCTTATCTTTTCTTCTAGCATGCTTGCTTGTAACCTTATTGATGACATTTTTTTTTTTTGTCTTGCTAATTCTGTTCTTTGGGAATTGAAACCCAAGTAAAAACTGGTTTTCACTCAAAGTGAAAGTTTAAGCTATTAATTATAGACTGACATAGACATAATCATGCAGATTGAAATCATAAGAAGCAAGCACCTTTGGATGAATATGTTCTTTGTGAAAAGTAAACTTAATTTTCTCTTGTCTCTGTAGATTAAATTTTTTGTTCAGAGATGCTTCTAGCTGAGTTACTTAAAAAATAGTCTGATTGAGCTGCATTAAGATTTGGAGTTTATAGCACATCAGAGAATCTTGCTGTGGGGAAGCAAGCAGTGAGGGAGTATCAAATGATGGGGATTTTCCCTATCTTGTATTTAGATATTTTGTTAGACCACTGGCAAGTCGCTTGGACTGGTTGTTAACACATCTCCTAAAGACAAAGACTGTGTTTCTCTTCATGGCATGTGTTCTCCATGTAGTTTCAGCAAAAAAATAAGGGGGAAAATGTTGAGTTAATAAGGTTGTAGCACTTGATTTTTGCTTGCTTTACAGAGCTCAGAGTGCTGTAAACCAGTTAGCAATAATCACATTATCCTCCAAAAGGGATATATCATTTTTATCTCAGTAGTACTCAGAGTAGCAAATCTGCCTGGGGTACAGCTAAAAGGTACTTTGTCAATCTGTGGCAAAACTACACTTCTATTTCTTATAGCACTCTTTCATCTAGACCAGGTTTCCACATTATTTTGTTGAGGCACTAATCCATTTTGTCTAGTCCCTTGTGTAACAATAGCTGTCAAAACTTTTCTCTTTGTATTTGTTCAAATTAAATTCATTCATTAAGTCAACTGCATGGGCACTTCTGCTTGCAGTGTTTCAGGCATCATTGCTGTGTCAATAAAGACTTTGCTGATGGATAGGATCTGCTTGACACAGCAGAAACTAACACAAACCACTAATGTAAAACCAGTTATAACAACCAAATTAAGTTCCTCTTGGTGTTGCTTGTTTTGCCTGAAATCATGGTGACATGGAAAAATTATACTTGGAAAAGATAATTTTTATATATCAGTGGTTCAAGATTGTTAATTCCTAGGAGGGTACAGCTCCTCTGTATTTGTCTAGCTATACCAGTTCCAGTCACTGGCATTACAACAGGAATCAGGAAAACATTACTTAGGACTTACAGATGTCTCTGTAATATTCTTGTTACTCTGCCTGTCCACATGTTGAAGGTGGGGCAGAATGAAAAGAACAGGAATAATAGTGAGACATTAAGTAAAAAACATGTGTTGGGGCAGGTCTAAAATGTTAAGGAAACTTCCCAGTCTGACCAATTATGGGGCTCTCTGTCAGTCACTCTCCCTTCACTGTGAAAAGAGTCTGTGCCTGCTCAGGGGCTGCTGCCCTTTCCCACCACACAGAGCACAATCTGCAGCTTGCACTGTACTAAATGTGTTCCTCAACCAGAGGGGATAATGATCATCAATGATTCCATCATTTCAGGGATGGGGCAAACACAATTGGGTGAAATGAGGAGTGGAAGAACTTCCAGGAAAGCTATGAGTAGGCAGAACACAGAGATGAGGTGAGAAGAGGAGGAAGATAAGAGAATGGGTGCATTGGTACATTCCCAGGAACTGGGAACTGACCACTTGGACTTGAGCTCTGAAAAGGGATTTGAGATGGGTTTAGCTATAACAGGGATATGCTTTGCACCAGTATGGGCATTTCACTGTGTTGGTGTTCACTTCTTCCACTCTTACACCTGTACTTTCTGCTCTTGAAATAAAGAAATTTTGCAGCTGTATGGAGGTGCTATCAAAGGTGATCCTTGCTTCAGGTATTTTTGTCAGATGGAAATGAGTTTGTCACTTGTGATGTTTAATATGTTTGTTTAAAAAATGAATCCTATATATATATACATTTACATTTTTAACCACAGTGGTGAGTCTGTATTTTACTTAGCTACAGCATAGTGTGAGTGCAGAACATTTACAGGGTGTGTAAGTTCCCTGTAAATATGCTGAATGGCATTTAAGTTTATCCATTCATTTATGCTGAAGACTTCTGCTGCCATGTGAGAGAGGAGTCTCATCTAAGTCACATTTTCCATTACTTATTCACAGGGGTGAGCATTTTGGCTTTGTTTATTTTTTTAAACTAAATCTAGCCCTTTTTATTCAGACATTTTATCAAAAGCCCTTTTAGGTAGAAATACAGTTTATGTTTAAACCGAGTTTTTCAAGCCAGAAAAAAAAAAAAAAAAAAAAAAATCTTTCCTTCATGGCTCAGGGAGTTCTGAAACAGCTTACCATGCTATAAAACTGTATAAATATGGAATATCCTGTTTTGTGCTTCTGTGGTTGAAGGCTCAATAAAGCCTCCAGAATCTAATTGAACACACACCAAAGTTGTAACTGATGATGCATACTAACTTGTTTTGGTGATAAATTTACCTTTGTAAAAATCATTGTTGTTTTTCTATTAACCCCAAAGCACTTTTTCAAATGTAAAAATGTGTTTTTCTAAACCCTGAAATATTTTTTATTTATTTCACCTCTTTAAAACAAGATGTGAAGGGTAAGAAATGAAACTATTTTTGTTCCAAGTGATTTTAAGAGTGACAAAGCAAGGCTGTGTTCTAATTTAGAAAAGGTTGCCAAGAGTGGTAAATGGAAAGAGGCAAATAAGATTAAGGAATTGCCCTGTCATGGGCTGCTGGATCATCTTTGACCAGCAGCTTAGTTTGTAGGATACATGCCAGCTGAGTGAGGCTGATCTTAGCTGGCACATGATTTGAGAAAGGAAAAGATGAACTCTGCTTTTGCCACCTCTGTGTGAGCTGCACAGGGTAAAAACTACTTTGAGAATAAAGGGTTGCCTGTCTTGATGTATGTGGTTTTCAGACCTACAGCTAATATTTGATTTTTGAGTTGGGTAGCAGACACTACAAGTCATTCTGCAGTGGTGCCCTCATAACCAGGATACTGCCCTGTTTGGGTTTGAAGAATATGCATAAATAATATGGAGTTTGGGATATAGTCAAGGATATTTTCTCTGTGTCCTTGTTGTTCTGTTTCAGAACTTAATGGTCAATAATTTAGCTAAGCAATTATTATTTGTTTCACTAGAAAACATTCCAGAACCATCAATTTCCTCAGAAGTAAGTGCCAAGAACTGGGTTTGTATTATTCAGTCTTTTTTGCACTTAGAATTTAAACAACTAGTGCTTTTAGGGGAGAGGTAGCAAGGATAAAAGAAGGATGTGGCAAGCAGAGATATCCATTTATTTGTTGTTTTCCCCCAAACTGCAGCAATTGTACTTTGGGAAGCCATGAAAGCCTCCGCAAGGCAAGCACCTGCATCCAGCTTCGCCTGCACCATGCTGGTAATTTGGAGCACAGTTTGGCTAGAACAGTAAGTAACCTTCTTTTCTTCCCCTTGCCCTTCAGCATCTTTTCCCTGAAGGAAAGAAATTCCACCAATCCCTTTACTTAGCAACCTGCAGTAATAATCAAAGAGAGATTATTTGCTTTCCTGAGCACGCATATATTATTGCTGAACTTCAGTTGAAATGTCCTGGGGAGCACTTGTGCTTTGCTCCTGTACTTACAACCAGTGAACAACTGGAGAGAACACACTACTGAAAAAGACCAAGGGTTACTTTAGTAAAAAATCACTTTTGTCAGAATTTAATCCTGTTTTATTTCAAGTGGTCAGAGAATTCTTACTTTTGATTTACTTCCAGCCCTAAGTTTGCAGTCCAGCAGAAGCTCTGCTCTGGGCAGTGTTCACTGGCAGTGTGTTGTCTCTTTGTTTTACCTGCTTTGCACGGCTCTGATAATAGTCTGAGTGTCTCAGTGTGTGGGTCAGATGGCAGATATCTAGCAAAAAAGGGTAGGGGCTTTCTTTTCCTACCTGTTTTGTCAGAAGGAAAACCTAAGTGAAACATCAAGCTCAATGCAGTGTCTTACCCTGGACCATTAAAAAAGGACTACGATGCCAAATTCTTTAGATATAGGTAGAGATATTTAACATTTTAACCAGATTATAGATAAAAAAGTTATTTACCTTCTCTGGGTCAGCATCTACTACTGTACATCTTCAAAACTGGAACCCAATTATATGTTTAGGAGTCTCTTTGGAAACTTCAAATCTTGTTTCTGTGCTAAGGAAGCCCAACTCTACATCAAGGGCAACTGGAGGCTGCCTTCATTGTGCTTACCTTACATAACACTGCTGAATTCAGGTTGCATAGTTAAAAATATCTGGTTGCACATGCAAGTTACTATTATGTTTAATAACCAAACTAAGTGGATACTTACAAGTAATGAGCAACTTTTTTTTTTTACTAGACACTTTTTGAAGTTTGGTCAATAATTAAATGTTTGCTATTCCTTTGTTAAAAAAAAAAGTGAATATTTGCTTTCTTTCCTTTTATTGGAAGCTGGCATTCTATTATGAAGTACTCAGAAATTTTCTTCAGCTGAGCAGTTACAAGCAAGAAATTTGGCCAGGGGCTTTGCATGGAATCACAGTTCTTTCAGTTAGTGGGTGACTTTGAATTAGATTTTGGGGTTTTTTTAAGCCATGACATTTATCAACTTTAGCACACTCTGAAATTCCAGGGAATGCTCTGCCTATTTAATTTTTTTCAGCATTTCAGGATTTCGGATGTCGCCACATTCTGATCATCTCAGGAAAGAATCTTTGTAATGGACAGCAAAGAATACTTACAGGTTTCTAACAAGAGCCTTACTTGCTTCCAGAACAGGATTTTTGAACTAAAGCACTCAGGAAGAGATATCTCCTGAGAGTTTAAGAATTTTTTAACCTATCAGTGTTAATATTTTGCCAGACGTAATGATTTAAGAGTTAACCTTGTGAGCAAAATCACAGATGAGAGAAGTCAGAGGCCTGTCATGATGAGGTAGCAAACATTTTCCCATTATTTAAATATTTTTGGCTTTCTGAAGGGATTCTGTAGATCAGGCCATAAGAAAACATTCAGCATCTCAAAGAATTTGTGGACCCCACAGTAGGGTTTAAGTGGGAAGGGTGACATTTTATGATCTCAAAGTGAATTATTGATCACCTCTTTACAGGGACAGACAGGGCTCTGAAAGCTTCAGGCCATGAAGTTATTTCATGTTGCTAATAATAGCAAAGGTCACAAGCAGCCCTTGAGGTGGAATAAGTCACAGACACAGAGTTTTCCCCCAGCTCCAGGGCATGCTTGTGACAGGGCACTGGAAAAAAATGAGAGGTTCTGCTCACAGCCAGCAAGTCTATCAGGACCAGAAAAAAAAAAAACCTAACAGAGGAGACAGAGTGCCTTGAAAGCTGCAGTGTGTATTTTATGCGTTTCTTTCAAGCCATGCTGAATTCAAGGATCTGATGTAGTCTACACTGAGCTCACAGTTAATTTTGTTGTTGCTGTTTGTTAAAACACATGGCTGTAAAATGCATTGCAAAGTCACAGACTGAGAGTCAGGTTATGGAAAAAAAAATTCTTCCCTCAGAATCATATTTGATTTTAGCCATTCTAAAAAGCCTCAAAATTCTACCTTTTCACCCTGTGTTTATTCAACTACCACACTACTCAAACCCTTGTGGCTTGTAATTCCTCATACAAAGTTGGCAGGTTTTTTCCACAAGGTAAAATTGAAGCCACTGGTGTTTGTGAGTCGAGACAGCCAGGACAGGCAGAGGGATGTCCTGGATTCCCATGAAGTAGAAGAGGGGATGCTGAGAAGCTGGGAATGGGTGTTGGAGGACCGTGGAGCTGCCTCTTGCCTCTGGACACTCTTGGTGTCCTTGGCCCTGCTTCTGGGTGTTGAGGCACTCCCTCTCACCAGTGCCGCAGCACAGAGTGTCACACAAGCAAAGGGACAAGAGGGAAAGCCTCCCAGCTGCCCAGGTGGAGATTTCTCCTCCCATCCATCTCTGCTGCTGAGAGTGCATCTCCTGAGTGTTCACACTGCCTGGATGTACTAGGGCTGAGAAAAAATCCTGGGCTGACCCAGCTGGCACAAAATGCTGGGTCATCTGTGACCCACTGCTGGGTGAATCCGTGGTCAGATTAGATCCATAATTGGTGATGTCATAATCCAGCTGCTGCACTAGATGATTGTTCTAGATCCTTGGCAAATGGGCTGTGCTCCTCGCTCTTCCCCTTTCTCTCCCTTCTTCCCCTTTCTCTTCCCTGGGATAAATCCCACCAAGGTTCTGTGGATTTAAGAACATTCAGCTGCTGTGGCTGACCCCTTACAATTCCAGTATCCACAAAGGGAAGGTCATGGTTCCTGTAGCTGTGCTCCTCCAGCTGAGAGGATTGGGAAGCCCCAGGTTTATCAGTAGTTTTAAAGGCTGAAGAAATCAAGCCCCAAAATCCTCTGCTTTTTCTGTACAGCCATTTGCCAATGGGATCATTTTCATCAATGCATATGTTCTCTTTGGACACCCACTTGCTACTGACATACTTAATAAAATACCTTATTTTCTGGCACAACAAAAGCTGGTGGAAGAAATACCCAGGTCCCTCAAGTGGCAAAGCCTCTCAGCTGCCCAGGGTGATGCTTCTCCTCACAGTTCACCTCTAACTCTGCATCATCTCTCCCTCTGGCCCACCTCAGTGTAGAACTAAAGCAGAATTGATGCATGCCTTAGGCTTCCTTGTCTGCCTTCTTCATGTCTCCCATGTAGGCAGGGCACTGGAGTATGCTGCTGCCTCCACTCTCCCTGCCAGAGGGCACATCCTGTTCCCCCACTGAATCTAATTTAAAGTTCTATTTCTAAGTCCAGCTAGCTTGTTTTCCTGAATGCTCTTGACCCCACAGGTACCAGCCAGTGTAATGTAAAATATTCACCAGACAAAATTTCAGATCAAAACATCCTGAATGCAGTTGAGAACATTCTGACTTTGGAAAATACAATGTAAATCTCTCCCATATGTATTCTTCTATATCAGAGTAATGTATGTCAGCATACACCTCTCTTCCACAGTGTGGGGATGACCAAAGAAGGTTCTGTGTGAATGAGCTGTTAGAAGACACTCATGCCTGGAGACTGATTTGGTAAGCTGCTATTCAGCAGTATTTATGTTTGTAATTGTTTATATTTGTGGGAAGCCTCCTTGCACCAAAGACAATTCTGAGAATTACTGGGGATAGGAATGAGACCAAAGAGAAAGACAATTGGTTCAATATTTCAGACTGTTTCTTTTCAGACCTTAGTTGTTGCTTAGCAAAAATCAGTGTTTTTCAGATCCATGTAATTCTTCCCAATTGTTTCCTTTTCATATTACTGAAGCTTTCACTAAAGGCTTCATTTTTCCCAGATTCCCATGACTGAAGGTCTCAAAATGTTCATGTGTGCATTGTGCTGTTAGAGAACTTTTGAGATTAAATATTGTAAAAATAATATGTTTGCTCTTCATTAGGACTATATTTTCACAGTTCAGCAATCTTTAAACCTATTTTTTTCCTTTTTAATGGAGGCTAACTATGATGAGCCTTTAACTTGGCAGTCAAAATGAAGCTGATTGTAAAGCCAGTCTGTGATGGACAAACACTAAATGAAATCGATTCCTCATTCACCTTTAATTATATTCCATTTAGATAAATTCAAATTCTAGATAAGGAAGCTGTTGACACTTTTTGCCATGTTCTTTATCACTGTGTTACTTTGCCAACAACAGTAGACTTAAATGACACACCTGTCATTTAGCAGATGGAAGAAAACAGAGGGGTAGTGACTCTTTTGAGGGTGGTACCTGGTGCTTACTGAGGACCTGTCTGGTTATCTAGGAGCATAGCCCAAATTTCCATTCTGGTTCTTGCTCTAAAGAGCTCAGTAGAAGACATGGATTTTACAGATGACAAGTGTATGAAATTTAGGAGCACAGAGGATGTCTGCAGGCAGGATCATTGGCTGTAGGTCCCTTCTCTCCAGGCTAAGAAATCTCATCTCTCTCTCCCCATTAGAACTGTGCTCCAGACTCATCCCCAGCTCTGCTCCCTTTTCTGGATACACTCCAGCACCTCAATGTCCTTCTTGTTGTGAGGGGCCCTGTGGCAGGTGCATTCTTCTCTCTCTCAGGATTTTTCATAGAGGAGCACAGAGGAAAGAAAGAGAAAACAATTTCTATTTCTGCTCCTTGTTTTTCCCATGTGGAATGTGTTTGAAGAATTGTTTTCCTAGGGTGATTGCTTGATGGGATTCTGGTGAGGATTGTTTGAGCCTGATACCCAATCCAATCCACGTGTGGCTGGATTCTGACAGAGGGTCATGAGGTATGAGTTAGATATGGTAGGTATGCAGTTTTAGTATCTTCCTTTAAATAGTATATTAATGTATTATAGTATAGTTATAATAAATAAACCATTCAGTCTTCTGAACTAGAGTCAGACATCATCATTTCTTCGCACTAGGTTTGTGTGCATTTACAATAGGGCCCAACTCTGACGCCAATCGCATGGGACCAGCTCCCAACAATTCCATTTACCACAACCCTGTGGACCCAGGCATGCATTTGGGCACTCTTTAGTGAGGCAGAATGGTGATAAACAGCATTTTAGAAGGGGAACTTAGCATTTCTCCATGGTAGGTGCTACTGCCAGGAGTCTAAAAGATGAAAGTTGCAAGTACGTGCTATGTACTTGTCATCCTCCTCCCATATAGATGAGCTAGGAGCTGAGACTGACTCTCCTCTTTGTGCTTTTCTTATTTCCTTTTCAAAACTCTTGCACCGTGTTGACTTGCTAAAAGCTAAAAAGAAAAATGTCCTTAACATCAAAGAAGTACTAAACGTTCACAGGTTGGTTAGGCTTGCCATATTTATACACAGCTTTAATGATGCACAAGTGTGAAGTATGTCTGTGTGATAAGATATGGGTATTATTAGTTATCTGGCAGACAGGGACTCAGGATAGAATTAGTAGGGGTATTTCAATCATTATTACAACTTGCTGGGTTTGTTTCCTATTAATGATGTAAAATTATGGCTACTTTCTGCCAAAAATTCTCCAGGGGAAAATAAACTGATGGAAAATATGCTAATTTTTTTGAACTAGCATTGTAATTTAGGAAATTATTCTGCATTTTAACCTGCATTTTGACCAACCATGCTAATAAACATGCTCACCTCCATGGAAAAAGAGAGCAAGGAAGCTCATATGTTCAGATATATTTTTGAGCTGGGTAAGGCTGTGAAAAAGATGTTATGCCTGAAGACTCGGTCAAAGCAGAGTGACAACTTGTATTAGCTATGATTTAACAGGATTACAGGAGGAATTTCCAGGCAGCTGCTCCACTTACAAACTGCCTGGCTAGATAAAGCCAGTGCAGATTGGAAATAAAACAGCTGTAAAGGCAAAACTACCTGTAGGAGGAAGAGAATGGTTGGCATCTCCAGGGAAATGCACTGTGGTATCAGCACGGGGAAGGCCACCTATCTTTTCTTTATTCTGTGTGGTTATTTCAGTATAATGAGTGTCCTCTTCTTGCCATGCAATATAGATAATGAAAATCTAATAATGTACCATCCATGAAACCTGTACTTTGAGCTGCAGCTGCGATTCTAAATTCTGATTGCTCAGTTAGTCCAGCTGAAATACATGAGGATACACACAGTTGCTCTGCAAAGAGTTGATTTGCTTTGAAGCTCTGAAAAAAATCAAAATAGTTTTGGGACTTTCAGCTACCAGACTGCAATAGGTATGGAAGAGTGGGGGGAAATTTCTTCTAAGCCTTCTTCTGAGGAGGAAGAACTTGAATAAAAGATTGCTGTGGGATATAAGAGTACAGTTAAAAAAAGCCAGAATAAGGTGGTTGAGTAAAACAAACAACAAAGGAGGAACTTAAATTGCCATTTCCACTTTTTCATATAAACATGTGCAAACCCCAACTACTTCTGATGGCCATCAAGGTAATGTATCCTTTTTACTAATCAGAGGGCTAGGCTAAGTGAAAAAATGGGAATTAAGGTTTCCCTATCCTTTCTGCCGTAGCAATAGTCTCACAGTCACCTTTTTTTGTTTTGTTCCAGCTGACAAATGAAGAACAGCAAGAATTTCAGTGCTTAAAACTGACAATGACACAAATGCTTCTTGAAAGCAAAAATCGGATTCTGGTTATCTGTGGGGGATAGCACTTGGAGTCTGTGGTTGAAAAAGTGTGAGATTTACAGCTGAAGCATCAGTTGAGGAGTTTAGTGGAGAGAGGTGTATGGTCCTCTTGATAATCCCCAATTAATTTAGTGAAGCTTTGCTAAGATTCAGCAATCTGCCTGTACGGATTTTATGGCAACTTCTGTAGCATGACAAAGGCATGGAACCACAGAGTAGTGGTGAGTGGCTTCTCTACAGAAGTAAAGCAAATTTTACTGCTTAGGAAATGCTGTGGGAAGGCAGGTGCTGAAACAGTTTGAGCACTTAAACTTGAGAACTGCATGCAAATTAAGTTCCATGGGTTATGTAGCAATGCTGTCCTGTTTTATAACATGCTTTGTACTTGTGACTTAGCTTTGGAAGTGCTGAGATTTTCCAGTTCTTGTGCAGATGTTTTATCTGATTTTATGCAGCTTAAGTCTATAAAGTGATTGAGAAAGAAGGCATTGGATCATAAAATCATCTATGTTGGACAAAACCTTTAAGATGATTAAGTCTAGCTCTAAGACTGTAGCATGTACTTGAGTCCATCCCTCTTTTAGGTAATATTTAAGCACTTGCTTAACCATAAAGAATAATATAATTGGGAAGTGAATTTCAGTAGACATTGAAACAGCAAATCACTTATTGGAGTTCTTTGTCTTCGGAAATGTGTATATTCATGTATAAATAGACTTTTTACATCTATTCTTTGTGGTAAATGACTACCAAAAATCAAGGGACATCCAGGCTCAATTGCATGATGTTTGCATACACACTTTGCTTTATTTTATACTAATATAAAATCTTTGTCAAATTATTTCAAATGTCTAGAATGTGAAAAAAAAACCAAAAAAAACCTACCCAAACCTGTTCTTTTGATCTGGTTCTTATTAACTTGATTTTGCTTCCTTATTTTCTGATTCCTAGGCAGAACCTTGTCTCTGTTATTATGAACTACAGAGGTCAAGTGGAATATCTGCTGCAAAATGAGGTATTTGTTCTCAGTTTGTTACACCAGAAAGCATTAACTTCTACATGAAAGATATCTGATTATTAATCTGCCTTAGATGCAATTAAGGAAGACTTTTAATTAAGACTGCTTAATCTGACTTGGAAAGGATATAAATTCTCCTAACAAAACTTGGTCTGAGGTTAGGAAGAAAGTGCTACAAATTTGAAATATCAAAGTTGATTGTTTCTACATGTCAAGGAACTTGTAAATAAAACCAGAGTTCTTTGAGCTGCCAATATAATGTTTGGAATTAGTAGAGGTATAATGCATTATATGGATCTGCAAAATTTGTCCCTGATTTTACAAACACCCAAGCCTAATGTTTACATATTTAATATATACATATGCAAGCATGTGGTGGTTTGAAGGATTAGGTTTAGCCAGCAAAACTCCCAAGAGCTTTATTTTTAAGCATTATGGGCTGCCAATTGAATGCTACATGCATGACGGAAAAATCTTTTTGGGAAATCTTCTCTGCTGTCCAATGTTTTAAGGACAAATGTCTACAGGACAAATTGAGTCATACCTTGGAAGAAACCACATTTTATTTGATCTGACTTCCAAGCTGGCATGCCAACTGATTTGATCTGACTTTCAAGTTGGCATGATAACCGATTTTCTAGGGTTTAAAACTGGAAAGAACAAAATATTTATAAAAATCAAAGAATACTGATGTAGCATGGAGACATTCCAGTGCATCCCTTCCAGAGTTATAACTCATTATGCTAAATTATGGATTTCTTTGAAATATATGTTACAACATAAAATGAATATTTTGCTTCAGAACTCTGTCATCTACATTGAAGTTCAGAATTTATTTTCTGGATGGTCTTGATCCGTTATTATTTCTATTTTGAATAGCCAGAAAACATACACTTGCATACAAATTTTATACATATACACACATGTGCAGAAATCCATCTAAACATACAGACACACATGAATGAGTATATATCAATAACATATAATACTTATAAATACATAGTGTAGATATATACAAACATTTTACATTTGGTGTAAGTCTTTGATGCTTTTTCAAAATGCAAAACACAAATTTAGAGGCTGTTGCACTGTGCCTGGCTACAAAATAAAGCCCTGGGTCTGATACTGTGCAGGTATTTGCAGAATTTTCCTTTGTATGCATTATCTCAAAGGGAAGTGTTTAGTGTATAAAATGTGATGCAGTCATAACCATTTGGAAAAGTTGGGTCCCCAAGCTCAAATGCACATATATATTTCTTCACTGAAAGAGACCCACCAGGGTAGTTATTTACATTCACTTGAAATTTTAGAGCCTAAAGCAAGAGGATTCTAAATTCAAAATAAAGCCATAACTTCAACATTAATGAGACTTTGCAATCCACCCTCTGCAACTAACACTGTGCAGATATTCCTCAGACCTATAATGGAGCATTCCTAAATTTGTTTTTGCTAAAGATTTTTACACTGGGTAAGCAATTTCTTGAAACCATTAAGTTTTTATAAAGAAAAGGAAGTACATTTTTCAAATATTCATACCATCCAAGGGATATGTGTGTGTCTAGAGCTGAATTTCTCTGTAGTTAATTTTTTTTAATGAGGCCTTTTCTACTTAGGGACACTCAATAAGTTCATATGAATTGCTTAGAAGAGCAGGAATGCATGTTAATGATCTAGGTCATATAATAGATATTTTCATTCAGAAGCATGAGTGTATGGAGACTTTCCAAACCTAGAATCATGAAGTATGATTTGCTTTAATTAGGGGCTCAAAAAATGATGGAACTCTAATGTAATGAGTAATATTCATAAATATATAGTAAACAAAACAAAAAATGAGAACCCTTCATTTGGTCTTTGAATCCTTGTTTACTTATTTTCTCTAACTTTTGATTAGATTGCTTAAAGAAGGTCTAAAACTGGGGTCATTATGACTGCCCCTTATCCCAAGTCTGCACAGAAGTAATTCTGTCACTTTTTCAATCTATTCCTGCTTTTCCAAACTATTCCCATTCCCAACTGGCATTTTTGTTACACCTCTCTGGTTCACCACAACTCACCTTCAGCACACTCTGAAATTTAAGACACTGGGAGCTGCTCACAGACTGTAAATTAAGTGCACAAGTAACTGCTGAAATTCTGTCCTCAACTGATGTTCCTTCAGCATTCAGTTTTAACCAGACACACCTTGAGATCCTCAGCTGGAAAAAAAAATAATTAGTTTTTTGCACATTTTTCTAATTATTTGCAGATTTAGTCTTCCATAGATATGGGTATACCAGTACTTTTTACTTATGGGAAAAACTCACTATTGTTATTAACCTAATTAGTAATAATGGTAAATAAATGGAAAATTATTTTTGAGATTTATAATGACTGTATAAAACAAAAATTTCAAAAAGATAATTAAGATGTCTGGCACAAAGAAAGGACTGGTGCTGTTGGGATTGAAATGTAAGTTTTGAAATGTAATTTTCAGTCAATATGTGCTGTCAAATAAGCAGCCAATTTGGACTGCCCTAACAACCACTTTTTTATGCACTTCATTTTGAAATCCATTCAAAATGCACTGTTACTGTAGAGAGAACTTTGTAAATTTTTTATAGAGTGTAGAATTTCTAGAATGAAATAACATTTTTAAAAATCATATACATTATTAAAATGCCAAAATATTCTTCTAAGGTTCTGCTCTATTTAAATATGTAGAAGGGGGAAAAATACAAGCTGTTGACTGTAGTTTCTTTGGAATTTCAGAAGATGTAAAATTTTTGTAAGAAATGAATCTCCATCTTCCCTTCTTTGGGACAAAAATCAATGTCATGTATCTACACTTGAGAAAAGAGAACTCTTTACATGATAATATCCCAGCAGAGAAATAGTGTGGAAAAAGTAATCATGTGTAGCACTTGGTATCACATAATTTTATGTGCTAATTCTTCTTCATCTGCAATATGCTCCTTAAAAGTAGCTACCATAAAAATAAAGTGTATGGTAAAGCAGCTTCTATAAATATTAATACTTTGATACTTTACCTATAAACAGAATAGCGTATTAAATGGAAATGGATACATTCCTCAAGACACCAATTCTTTTTATGCAATAGCATTTATATGTGCATGCAAAAATACATAAACTGTGGGTGGGTTTGGGGTTTTATTTTGTTTTTATTTTTCTTCATCCAGAGAGCTGTTTCTCTATTCAAGGGTTACTTTTGTGTATGTCTATTACTTGCTACTGCTCAGCCTTTTCCTCTCTAGAACCTGTAGTGTGAAAGGGTGTTTCTGTCCTTAATTACTAAAAAAAAAAAAAACAAACCCAACAACTTATGGTTAGTAGAATCTGACTGCCAGGTATTTGTGGATATTTCACATGATTTATTCCCACTTTAGTTCATCTCAAAGCAGGTAATGGGGAATGAGTAAGCTCAATATATATTTATATTTATTTGTTATAATGGCAGGTGTTAACCTTCTCAGTACAGTCTGTGCATAGACCTTAAGCCTGAAAACAGAAAGTTCATCTTGGTACAATTTTTACTTTTCAGGCATGAGATGAATGAGTTAGAGAAATGGTTTTATGGGTACATCCACATGCTATAGTGAATTAAAAGGAACATTTATCAGTACAGGAACATAGAGAGTATTTATAGGAGAGCTTCTGCTTGTTCAGAGAATGTATTTTAAGGTTTAATGAAGTGATATAACCATGCAGAAAGCCCATGAATTTTTATTTATTTATTTTCCTGAACATAGAGTACTTGATACTGTGTTTTGCTTCCCTTGAGGATCCAAAATATTTTTTAATTCCCTGATCATTTCATCTAGAAATTTTTTTATATGACAATATTTAAATACATAAATTTATAATCAATAAGATTCCATAGTTTTAATTTTGCAGAAAGCTGGTTGCAAAAGTACTCAGCCCACAGGTGTCAGATTATGCAGCCTCCCACACAGCATTTATTTTTAGGAGGAATGTGGCTGTTTTCTAACTCTCACAGAAATGGGTAGGAGACAATGGTGAGGATAAATTCACAGAATCACAAAACCTCAGAATGCTCATGAATCACTTGGCTTCAGGTCCCCTCAGAAGTGTCTTTACAGTGGTTCCACGCTGCTGGAGTTCAGACAAACCAAGTTTTTCCCTTAAAATCAGCAAACCAGTTATCTTTGATACCAAATTTGTTGTGGTTTTGATCAGCATACATTTTGTGGGAGATAATTGTACTTCAACGCAAATGATGCCATCCTTAGGAAATTATTTGCCTGTGATGATTTCAGTGTAACCAGACTACACCATGGTGTTTGAATTTTGGTTGAGTGGGTAGGATTTTCTACCCCGTCACTGCCATGAAGGTTATGGTCAGGTATTTCTGGTAAATGCTATGTATCTGTTTCCTTTTTCCCCCCTATTTGTCTCCTATCAACAGAATAATGTTGATAATGTGACTGAGGCAGCTAAAGCCATCTGCAGTGTCCTGTGCTTTGTGGAAACCAGAGACATCACTGATGCAATCAGCAAACTCCATGCTTTGGGGAGAGCACAGGTAAAAGATGCATGTTCATGTCCTATTCTTCTCTTTAAAACTGGAAACTGAATCACTACTTTTTTCATTGATCGAGTCCATTTTACTCTCTTGCTACATTTGGCTGTCTTGCTGTCTTGTTTTCCCTTTGACAATTGTTGGGTAGAGGCACTCTAAAAAAAGAGCACTGACCATGTGTAATATGATAGAGAACAAGAGAAGACTTGCCATATTATTAATTTGAACTGATATTCTCCTCCAGTTCTTTCTTGTTCCTACTTAATGTACAAATCTCTTCTTTGCCACATCACCTATTTACCAAATCACATGATCTCAGAGTATTAGATTTTCAGTTACTTTGTGCAGGTTGTCAATTTAAAAAAATCTCCCAAAAATGTTATTTATATAAAAATAACAATTTCAACAAATAAACAATAAATAAAATTTCAATTTTCAGATTGAAATGTCCCTATTCTTTGTGCAAAAGAGTACCAGCATCATGCAGTCCTGATTCTAGCTGAAATATTCTTAAAACATTGAAATGGGTTTTCCAGGTGTTTCTGTATAATTAATTGTGAACTGGGACTTTGGAGGGCAGTCTCCCTTCTCAATTTGGTCGTCAGCTGCTTTGGTATGACCTTAGAAAAGCCACTGTGCCCTGATTTATATAAGTTCTGAGCACCCAAAAGCTCTTCTGAAAGTCAGCATTTTGGAGATACAGGTTTTCAGCAAATCTGAAAATCAAGCCATTAATCACTTGGATTTACTCTGGTGTAACTGTGTGTCGTGATAATTTTTTCACACCCTAAAGAAATTCCCTCTTCACGCTTTCAAAAAAATAAAAGTTACTGAGGAATTATCTTCTATCTTTGCATGGTCTCTTGTCATTCTCACAGCATATACTATTTAGAAATAGTATTTAGAAAATACTATTTAGAAGCAAATACTATTTAGAAAAACATGCCAGACTGCATGTGATGCTTGCATTCAGATCCTGCAAGACTTTTATCCTTTCTCTTTATTGTTGGCGTTGGTTTTGGTTTTTTTTTGTTTTTTTTGTTTTTTTTTTCCCCATGGCTTGTGATATGTGCAAGAACACCAAAGACTGGAAGAGCCAAGGCAGCTCTAGGGTTTTTGGTTTGTTGCTCAGACCTAACCAGCTGATTCACTTAAATGGCTTCTCTTGCTTCTCTTCTAGTTCATGCTTCCCTGCAAATCTTGCTTCTATATTATCCTAAATATTTTAATTTCTGCTTTGGCATCAATTATTAGAATTCACTACTGGGAGTAAATTCCTGCATAAATGAGTCTGTGTTGGCACACATTTTATCTAGCACAATGTGGGATCAAATGGAAATAAGAATATCCATTTAAGAAAAGCTCTTCTTGGATATTAGAAGGTAAATACTGTAGAGAAGGAGATAAAGGAAGTAATAAGGGATTCATATGATTTGCTTTTCAGTTAAACTCCAGACTCTTAAGAGGTGTCAGGTGATCAGTGTCTTGTACCTGAGACAAGAATTTTCTCAATCCAGAATATTTCTTGAGAGATAGACAATGATCTGGGTCAAGTTAAAAGACAGAGAGGAAAGCAACAGAACTTTGTTTTAGAAAGGAATTGGAGCAGAAGAAATTTATCAGGACTAATTTGATAAAAACTTTTTCTTTAAGGCAATAAAAATTTAGTGTATTTTATCTTTTAGTGTTCAGGTCAGCCCTGTGAACCTAATGTGTAAACTACCTCTTATGACTGCCTTATATATCCCTTGGTCCATTTACAGCCCCATCCTCTCTGAATTTGAGCAGAGAAATAGGTGCAGTGGTCAAAGAGACAAATCAGGTTCCTATTACTGTGCCTTATCCTAAGTCAGAAAACCCCACATGTCATGCAGAATAACATAATGGGATAAAACCCTGAGTACAAGTTGTCTTCTTCAAGTCTTAGGTTTTTTTGTGAATGTTCACATTTTCTTTTACTTGTGTTCGGAGTTGTTTCCATGCAAACCTTGCTTTTATTTTTGAGACGAGGTGGCTATTAATAGGCAAATAATTAAATTAAACCAGATCTATCTTGTTGTAGAAACAAACAAACAAAACTCTGCTCCAAATGTTCCCTGTTTGCTATTGCTCATTCCCCAGCATGTCAAAATGTCCAACTCCACCATATAGACTGTCTCAAATATTTACAGTTTCTCCTAAAGCAACTTCCATGTTCTTCCTCACACAGAGGGAGCAATACACTTCCTTTTTTCCTGTTTTACCTGCTTAGATTATAAACCCTTCAGAGCAAGGCACACCTCTCCTTATCTCTGTGTGCAGTCTGAGTGCTGGTCCTGGCTGTGTTCTCCAGAGGCTCCAGCTGATAAGGGCTGACCTGAACACTAAAAGATAAAATACACTAAATTTTTATTGCCTTAAAGAAAAAGTTTTTATCAAATTAGTCCTGATACATTTCTTCTGCTCTAATTCCATTCTAAAATAAAGTTCTGTAATGAGCAAAGTGATGCTGTTCTGAAAAGCCTCTTCTGAATGTTGAAAAGATGGTGTTCTGATTGAACAATCTTAAATATTTTTCTGTCCTAATATTCAATAAGAAGCTGCATGACATATTATGGGGATTTTGGAAGGAATTTAGAATGAGTTAGAGATGGGACCTCTGAGTTTTTAGATGATATGGTTTTTTTTCTTATTTCCTACATAGGCAGGGTGAGTTCGACTAACATCTTTACTGTATGGTTCAGAATGTCACAAGACCCTTAGTTACAAGACTTTTAAAGGATTTATTGACTAATAAAACACTGCTAACAAGGATATTTATGTTTCTGACTTAATCCTTAAATATTTTGTTTTATGGATTTATGTTACAGTGTAAGCTTTCGTAGCCAATCAGGTTATGACACAAACTCACAATACTGCATTATAGGCTCCTTGTTTACCTTTGTAACTACATTTTTCTGTATCTTAAACTCCAAAACTTTAAACTTTCTTCTTCTTAACTTTAACATGTCTCTGCTTTAAACTACAAATCCACATTCTTGCTTATAGCATCTAAGTTTGGACACCTCTTCTAAAGTCTCAGATTAAATCCTGTGTTTAATTCTAAACTTTGGCTTACAGGCCCATAGTTCTGAGTATTCCTTGCATTTTGGATTCTAACAACATATGTCTTAAAAAACTACTGGCTAGATTGTCACTCATGCTTTCAAATTTTTCAGTCATTGAGGCTTTGTTCTCTTAATGCTGCTATTTAGGCTTGGTTAGTTGAGCTGGTTGGTTTTCCCTTGAAGCCTTCCTGTAAAAGCTGCCTGTGACCTTGACTGCCACCCCTGTCCCCCTGTGCTGAAGCAGACCTGACTAACAACTCTCTTCAAATGCTGCTGCTGCTGCTGGCTTTTCACTCCTCTGAGAAATAGCTGCTAGGACAGTCAATAGACCTCAGCAATCTAGAAAAGGCTTTTGATTCCATAAAGTTTCATCTTTGTCAGCAGCTCAACTATAAATGTCATAAAAGCAGTAAAATATACTCCTGCATGTTTTGTAACTTCTCCCATTTTCTGAGAATAGTCATTATACACCATATGCAACTACCTCACGTGTAGAATATAAATACAACACATCAGATTGTATCTCTATTTGTCAATATTTATACAAAGACAATTGACCAGCTTTCCTGTCTGTTGCAATATATGTGGTCAAAATTAGTACTCAGCAGCCAGTTATTCAATGGAGTACCAACCCCCTCAAACCTCTTTTTGATTTTAACTTACATTGAATGCTAGGGTATCTTTTATGTATCTTTTGGGTACTGAAAAAATTATTAAATGCTGTAATGCTACTGTATTTTACCATATTACTTTTATTGATAATATTATGTTCATCATGTTCATCACTGTAGTACCAAAATATTTTGTTAGGAGGAAGAGAGGCTTTTTTCAGATAATCTGGTAAACTGCCCCACAAATTAAGTGACATTTTTGAGGCTACCTGTTACATCTCAAGCATTGCAGCATTACACATCTGCTAGGGAAGAGGTGCCAGAAAAACATTCTAACTGCTTTTCCACATGATTTCCTGATGCATTAGTGTAATACATGGTGTGGTTTTGCGTGGAATATTTTTTAACACATCCATTTGGCACAAGCACATATAAAGCCTCAGGGGAAACCACTGCTAAGCCTCAGGGGAAACCACTGCTTACTTCTTCCAATGTAAATTGCATAGTTTTCCAGTGTATGTTTGTTTATACCTACCTGTACATATGTGCTCTCCTACTTGGTAAAAAAAAATTAATGTGCTTCTATTTAATTCTGGTTGAAAAAAACCTAAACAAAACAAAGAAACTAAGTTTCAAGCTTCTGTCTTTAATTAAATTGTACTTACTACCTCTTCACTGCCAGTACTGTGCATTCCTGTAGCATGGTTAAGAGATTATGAAAGCAACTGGCATCAGTGCTGGTTTCTTCTTAACTGATTGCATCTCTTTGTAAATGTGATTATTTCAGTCTTTAACCCACCTAACCCTGGGATTTTCAAATCCATTTAGGGGAGGCTGTGGACCTGATGAATACTAAATGTTTTTCATCTCTCTTTTTTTTTTTTTTTTTTTTTTCCCTCCATTCCTTCTTGCAGCAGCTCACATAAAGTCATAGGAGATCAAATCCTGCCAGAACAGGCACTAATCCACTATATATTAAGCATGCTATACTATGTCAAAATTATAAGTACCATGCCAAAAGGTTGTTCACTTTCCAAAATTTGAGGGAATTGAACAAAAGTCTCTGTTCCCATTTGTCTCACTGCATTATGAAGATTTTGAAAACATAATTCTCAGCCTGGATGCTGCTTTTCTCCCCTCAAGTAAGCATTCAACAACTTCTGTTCATCTTCACCAGACAAATGCTGGCAGCTCCAAGCTGGGTGCCAGAGGGAGAGTGTAACATCCAGCATTGTATTTCTTCTGCCACCTCTGCATGCATTGTAATTTTTAAGAAGCATCATGCTGAATACATATGTACTAACATGAAGCATACTCCAAGAGATTAATGACTTTGAAGGGCAGAAAACCTTACAGGGATGTGGGTTCAAACAGTGAGAGCCAGAGGCAATACTGAGGTGCAGAATTAACTTTGCAGTCTCTCTGGTCAAGATTTGCCACTTATTTTTGTGTTGCTTGTAGATACAAGTCTGACCATAGACTCAGATAATCCTAAAGTGTGCTGAGTTGAAAGGGTTCCACAAGAATCATCCAAGTTCAACTTCTGTCCCTGCAGAGGACACCCCAAGAATCACACCATGTGCCTTAAAGTGTTGTCAAATGCTTCCAGAACTCTGTCAGGCTTGGGGCTATGGCCTTTTCCATGGAGAGCCTGTTCAACTCTCTGGGTGAAAAAGCTTTTCCTGATACCCACTTAACCTCCCCTGCCACAGCTTCATGTCATTCCCCTGGGTCCTGTCACTGATGACCAGATGAAGACATCAGTGCCTGTCACTTGCCCTCCTGAGGAAGCTGGAGAGCACTTTGAGGTCTCTCCTCACTCAATATTTCCCTTTGGCCACCTCTGGTCAGCTGTCTGCTCAGAGGCCTTTGAAGAGCACAGCTATTTTCACTGATCTGGCACAGGAGGAGGTGAAATGGAGGCCACTTGAGCGGAGACTTGCTGCTCCTCACCTTTGAGAGGATGCCAAGACTCTTCCCTTTGGGCTTCATGTCTGATTGTATAACGTTTGCAAAGGGGTGGAGAGGGAATTCTTATCTCTGTTGTACCACTGTGGAGGCTGAGAAAATGTGAGCACATTTGATGAGTGCTTCTTTTACCTTGACATGCCCAAATACTGTCAGAAATCAGGTCTAAGTGGCTTGGCTGAGGTGGTAGAGGAAGCAGGTCCTGGTGCCCTGAATCCCAGTCATGTCTTGTGTCATCATAACGTTACAATAAATCTAAATTCTTCCCCCTTTCCACTGTATTTTCTACTCCTACAACCATTAGAACTTCTACGTAGTCTCTTCTGAAGTGACTGATTACTTTTTTCCTCTCTGGTTTTGTCTTTGTAGAATTCTCTTCAAAGTGTGGAAACACCAGGCAAAGGTAGAGTGGATTTTTTAAAGTCTCTTAATTCAAGGTGTATAATCAAAAAACACACATTTTGCTATTTGTTTGTTTTACTAATCTGTTTGTGTGGGCATATTGCAGATGTTTACATGTTAAGGTGTATTATAATGTAATTATGATAAGTTGAAGTGCTCTAAAAGTGTAAATAAAACAGCATTTCCACAAAATAATCTGGAGACTCAAACATGGAGAATGAGTAGCAGAGTGAAAGAACTGACTTGAGGTGGTGGTGGTCATGGTAGTTTTCTTTAATCACAACTTTCATTGTGGAGAAAAGGGAAAATAATGAACTTCATGGAAGCCTGAAAAATTATTTTTCTGTGTGACTTTTCCACCTGACTCCAATAACTTTAATTCTCCCCTCTGTAAGCTTTAGTTCTTTGTGATTTTTTGCTGTATAAACAGTGTCTTGTCTAATGATTGTCATAAGAAGATTATATTAATTAACAGTAATGGACAAAATTATAAACTGCCTTTTTAAATTCTCACTGACTCAGAGGTGCCCAGCACTGTCAGCCCCTCTCAGACCAAAGGAGGAGCAAGAGTCTGCTCTGCCAGGAGCTGGGTTCCAGGAGGGAACAGCCTCATCAGGTGCTGCTCTAGCCCTCTGTGGCTGCCCAAATGCAGCTGGGGATGCTGCATGGGTACTATCCAAGGGCCCTCCCTCCAGCTGAGCACTGGGGTGGGCTATGGAAGGAATTGGTCTCTCTCCATTTTGTTGGAGGAAAAAATGTCCTCTGAGGTAGTCTTTTCCTTTGCTCTTCTCGACTGCAATGTGCTCAGAGATGCAAAAAAGTTGAAGCAACTGCAATTATTTCAGCAGTCTTTCAAACATACAATTGCTTCAAATACAGGTTTCCAAATGCTAGGCTTGTTTCTGCATTATTCAAAGTCATGAACAGCAGAGAAGGGAAACAACAATTCAATTTGTAAGATGGCAGGAGAAGCTAAGCAGCTGGAAGGCCAGGAGAGTGGGAAGAAAAAAAACCCATGCAGGTGCAGAAGGGGGGAGAAGGTAAATTCAGTCTGTAGGACTCTTCTTTCTTGGATATACTCCTTTTTCCCATGTGTTAACACTCTCAGTGGCAGCTAATTGCTCATGTTAAAAATAATCAATAGCTACTAATAGGCATCTACCTGAGAAACATCTTCCTTCACACACTGTTCAGAAAATGTAATTGGAATGGATTTTAAACACTCCTCTGACTACAGGTATTTCTAAATTTGAACTTCATTGAATCAGCAGGTCTCTCAAGGAAAATCTCAGTTATTGAGTAACACTGAAGGAATCAGTGTTTACTCCCTACATCTCTGTACCTATTTATTTATGCCAGGAAATCGTCAAGTGTGAAGATTTCTTTGGTTTTGGCACACCCTCATTTCATAACAATTGCAGAATCCTTTTGGTAGTGTAAGATTAGAAACTGCAATTTACTGATAGCAAGTCAGAACTTGCCAAACCATTAGTCATTCTGTGGAGAAGCCTGCATTCAAATTTGTTCAAGGTAACCAAATTTCCATTTCATGTATGTTTTGACATGCTACATGTCTTACATCTGCACATAATACATAAACTAAATAGACTAAAAGTCAGCCAAATATTTAAAGTTAGGCTAATGAGCTAGCATGTCAAAGCTGGAGTTAAGAACATATCTGAGAAAAGCCAAGTGTGAGTGCAATGACCAAAACTGATCTGCAGGAACCTAGGGCTGAATTCCCAAACATGGGGAAAAACCATATTGCATCTTCTCTTTTGGGCATCAGAAGTTTTCCTTAGTCCCTGTCTTGTCAGTGCTCACCTTCATGATAATGCTGCTGATCTAGGAACACTAACCTTGAGAGGAATCCAGATGATATTTTCACCTGCTGAAGCTAGAAGTAAAAGCCAAATAAGTGGTGAGTTGTAAGCTCCTGCCAAATTCATCTTTGTGCTTCTGTTTCCACCTCATTTGCCTCCCACCCTTTTTTTACTTCATTGTGCTTAGCTGTCTAGGATTGCAGGTGTGCAAAAATCTGCAAGCCTGTGAGCCAAAATTAAAGGAAAATCATAGCCTTAGCTCAGTGCTGTTACACATTTCCAGATCTCTGGGAAGCTAAAACCCATGTGCTTTCCTTCCTCAAGCTGCACATTTGCAGATGAAGTCAGAATTGACAGCTGAGGAAGAGACAGACTGGATTTCCCATTTTTACTGTTCCTTTCTGTTCCTGATATGTATTCATGTTTATCTTGAAGAAAACAGGATCAAATTTTAACAGCAAGAGCAGCAGTTACTCCAACTAATAATGTTTCCTTTCTCCTTTTTTCCCCAAGAGATGATTATTACCCTGAGTATCATAAGAGTTTTGTTTATCTCCATTATAGCTTCTCTCTACCACAAAAGAGAAGAAGATAAAGGATACTATTAAAATTAAAGCCTTACTTAAAACCTTGTTTAGAAGCTGCCTTAACCTTGCTCGTTGTTAACAGATTTTCAGAGGTTTATTAAGTCATTCACCATGGACTAAGCAAGTCAAACACTATATTCAAAGTATCTAGCCTTGATTTAGTGTTCCAATAACTGCCTCTATTAACAGTGTTATCTCTGAGGAACAATTTATGCCACAGCTGTGAATAAAGCAATACTTATCCACATTATGCTTAAGCCTGGATCATGTAATTTTTCCTCTCTATGAAGTCCTTAGAAGATTATATTCAAGTTTTAGTGCCCAAAATATTTTATTTCTTGTTAAATGGGAGGAACTATAGGCATTTCTAGACATGAGTATCTTTCTGCAGCATCAAGTGTTCACAGAAAATGAAGATTACTCATGTTAATGGAGACTTAGCATTGGAGTTTGCTGCAATCCAGAGTGTGAAAAGGCTGCAGGCTGGTGCAGACCTGAGTCTGTGTGTGGCTCTCAAAAGCTGATGAATGAATATTTATTCCATGTCTACAGCCTTGCTGCTTAGGGCAGGGATTTCATCAGATCAGGCATAATAAGCAGCTTTCAGAATTTGATTAGTAGTTCTCTGGGACCCATCCAGAAGATCTGGTATGCACCAGGAACTGATGATATTGAATCAACAGTCTTTTCCAACTGAATTGCTGGAGTTGTTATCTTTTAGGGTGAATGCAGGAATGTAATGCTTACAATACATGTCATGTAGTCATCATTACATTAAGACTATAAAGCTTCTCTAACTCTGTTTGGGATTTGAAACTTATTTCTAGACCTGATAATAAAAGCATTCCCAAAAGAAAGGCTTTTTTAAAAAAAGATTTTAAAAAGGGAGAAAAGGAGGGAAGTGGTTTTTATGTTGTTAGGGAGCTGAAAAATTCTTTTTCTTCCTTTCTTAGCACAAACCCATTACACTTTTGTTTTGGGAAAAACTCTTTTTGTTTCACAATATGGAAAAATCTTAAGGGATTTTTATTGATTTAGTTTCATTTTTCTATGTGCCTGCTGCATTGTTTCCAAACCAGAACACAACTCCTCACCTCTAAGTTGTTGTTGTGTTGCATCCTGATATATTGTCCCTATAGCCAGAGGCTTTTTAATCATGAACGATTTTTAAATAACTACAACCCCCTAATTCTGCACAAAAAGTAGGCAGAAATTATCAAGGCTTTATAAACTATATAGGAGCAGAGACATTTTTGATACCAGGACAGCAGGAGATTTTTAAGTTGCTTTCAAGGAATAATCTATAGGATCCTTCAACTAGTAGGAGAAAACAATCCAGTAAATGCTGGTGCTTGCAAACTGCATCTGATCAGTAGATCAGATTACAGCCTTGTCGTGTTCTTCCTCTTTCTTATTACAGAATGAATACTACTTAGCATTTTACTTAAAGGTCAGGTGGGTTTCTTTTTTCTTTAGTTTGGGTTGGTTTTAGGGTTTTGTGTCTATGTCCTAAACTGTATTCAGGACCTTGCTCTTTCATCTCTGAAAATAAGTTGGAAAGGAAAAAATCAAGATCTGTTTCTCAAAAGTATTTTTAATCTGTCAAAAGGGTCATAAGCTTTCATTCCAAATTCTGTTCAGCCAGATTTTTGTCATGTTTTACCTGGAGAAAACGTGTACAGGTCAAAGAAAGTGTTTAACATGTGTTGAACTGACATTATCTGCTGGTGCAGGAATAGCAAAGTGCAAGATCTGGCAATAAAATAATATAGGAATCGTAATACTGGACTGAGAGGAAAAAGTGGGTGGGCTTGTGTAAGGAATAAGTTACTATATTCCTTACTAAATCGTGAAGGCACTTGCAGGGGTATTCATTAACCCTTTCAGGACTGAGGGTTGTTCTGTTTCTCTCCAGAGGTAGAATTTATTCCTTCAGATTTCCTACACAAGGAACAGGAACCTGTCAGAAATAAGCATATCTGGCAGCTGTGGTTAAAGTTCACTTCCCTGGTTCTCCTCTCACTTCTGCATGTCAGATTTCTCTTCACCTTTAGTGAGAAGGTGGTGGCAAATAATTTCACACCAGGAATAAATCATGAGATTTGAGTTGTGAGACTATTAATCTTGGTCACAGTTCACTTTGCAATGTGGTCCTTTCATTGTCTCTTACATACTGGATATCCCTGGGACACCTTTCTAGAAAACAGGTTTTGATGTAGCTGAAACTCTGAATCTTCTGTATCAAGTCCTGTGTAGATCAGTGAAACACCAGTCCTTTCTCAGCTGAGATTTATTAAAAGGCATAAAAAGCAGTAAAAGTTCTCTGGCTTCATGAGTGGGAGATATAATTTCGGCCTACCATATCCTATTCAGCAGCTCATTAAAATACAGGGAGAAAACGCTGACCAAGTTTTTTGAGTAATGGATGTTTACAGACTACCCAAGATGTTTCCCTCTAATTCAGCTAATTGCTACTGGTCCTAATGACTGAAGAATGGGGGTTGGAAAAGGGCTGATTCTGGCACAGAAACCATAGACTGTTTTATAACTGAGAGCTAGCAAGAATAAGAAACTTAATGTTGAAAAAATTCCTGGACCTACAGAGCAGATTATACTTAGACATTTGCTTAAAGCCAAGGAATTCTGTTCCTGAAAATATCTTCATTCTGTATGTTCTAATCATTAGATAAATAATGCTGAAGGCTATTTGTCTCCCTTGGCAGGCAGTGAAACTATTGCCCACAAGTTGTTCCACTGCTGTCTTCACCCCTTACAAGCCAGTTGAGGGATTTTGTTTGGTTTTGTATGCTTGTCTGGTTTTTACACATCTGACATCAGTTTTGTGACTCAGGTAAACCACGAAAATAAATTTTCTGCCATCATGGTCAATGGACAGGGCAGCTTGGATGTAGTAATAGTCATCTTGCATCTTAATCACTTCCTTGTCTGGTGCATGTGCATTTTCTGTTATGGAAAACACTCCATTGTGTATTTTCTCATTACTTTATTATTTGGGAATCCTTTGCTCATAGAGTATTCCCTTCTATCTGTGGCTTAGCTGAGACAGAATACATTACTTCTTGTTCTGGAGACAAAATCTGAAACGTTGCTTTACCAACTAGAATGCAGATTGTGTTAAAACTGTACATTTTCAGGGAACTGAACTACCTTTTACCCTCTTTTGGAGAAAACACTGAGAAGGTTCTATTCAGAAATCATTGACTTCAACAAGCCAATTTTCATAAATAAGAGGTTTGCTATTATACTAAATTTGCCTGTCAACCACTTTGAACAGATTGGAAACAAGGAAGCTCCCCAAGAGCTGTTGGTCTCTAACAAAAAAGTAGTGTGCTACTTTTCAGAAAAAATACTGGTTCAAATAACAGTCAGCTAATATCCTCTTCCAGACCTCTTAAGAATGTTCCATGTGTATCACTATGGGTAAGTTCTTGGAGTGTAAAGAATTCAGTGCATATTAAAAATTAGTTTGTAGTTACTAAGTGATTACACATCCAAGTGGACTGGGAATGAGAATTAAATGGTGTTTACAGAAAAAATCACTAGAGCCAAAGATTTTTTCAAAACTATTGTGGTGAAGGATGATAAATGGTGGAAATGCTACAGAGTATAAACAAAAAAGGCTATTAAAACCAAGTGGTAGACAGAGACAGTAGAAGGATTGAGTTTTTTTAACCTGTTGATCTCTAAAATGATTCAGTTTTCATATGTGGTGGATGATCACATTAGAAGGTGTAGTACTCTAGCCTGTCCTTCATATATGCAATAATTTGCTGTCAGTATTTTCAGAAGAAAACCTAATTTTACATCAAACTATTTCAATTTTATGTGTATTTCTATTGTTATATAATTAAAATTTATGAAATTAAGATAAATTATTTCTTTGGACTGTTTGCAAGGCATTTTGTGACTCAATAGATCTGGGTTAAAGGAAAAAGGTGTCAAAGAAGGAGAACATAATTCCTGACTGAGGATAAGGTTTTTTGGAAATATTTCTGTTAGGAAACAGGGATAGCTAAGTCCAGGGAATGGTGTTATCTATATCTGATGTTGGGCAGGAGTGTTGCACCTTTCCCAAGGATAAAAAGACTAATGGGAGTCTCAGACTTCCTATTCCTTAGGCTGTTTCTTCTTTTTCTTTTCTTTTTTTGTTCAATAGACACTATGAGCTGATAGATGGCTGCTAATTTCAGTGGCCAGAGAAGTCCAGGGAATATTTCAAGACCTTTTAACAGGTGGTGAGAGTGTGCTCTTGATCATGTAGAAAAATGTGAGTTAGAATGGTAAAAAAAGTAGAATTTGGGGTTTTCCTCTTGTAAGACAAATCGGCCTGATCTTGGAACAATTCAATGTATTCTGACACTTTCTCTCTCAACCTAGCCTATGCTTGAGAAATGAGTGCTCTTAACAGCTCTCTTCACTTGATGGAGGCTGCCAGGACTGGGGGTTTGAATTTACACTGGCAATCAGGCTGCTCCAAAAACAGAGAGGGAAGATGGATAAAAGCCAGTAATTGCAGG